TAGCTAAGTAAAGTTTATAAACTTAAATAAAAAATACTTTATAATTAACTATATTTTACTTAGTATATTCTACTAAGTAAGATATAGTATATTATTCTTATTAATAATATAATAATAGTACTTATTTACAAAGTATATAGTAGAGAGAGAGTTGTACAATATTTATTTGTTTTATTTCTAATATATATCTTTTTATACTAAATTAATCCTAAACTATTTTAGAAACAATTTACTTAGAAATAGCACCTAACTACCTACTAGAACTACTACCCTTAGAGGGAGTAGGTACACGCTTAGGAGAAAAGTCTAAGAAGAACTAGCAAGATTCGCACTTGTTCTCTTTATTCTAGAAGAAGGTATAGTCTAAATTTATTAGAAATAATTCTAAATTATTCTAGAAATAATCTAAATAAAACTTACTATAAACAAAGTCTATGTCTAGGCTATTAATGTTGCACACCTAGTAGAGGAGGTTATCTTTAGCCTAATTATTATAATAGTTCTTAACTATATTAGTTATAGTAGTAAAGTTAAGCTATAAAAGTTAGAAATAATTTAGAAACGTTTAAGAAATAATTTACCTATTCTCTCTCTAAATTATTAACCTAGACAATATTTTAGAGAGAGTGTTTCTAGTCTTTCTACTCTTTCTTCTCTTTCTTATTATCTAGTGTAGTAGTAGAGTCTTTAAAATTGTTATAGTCTAAATTATTTACTAATTAATCTAACTTATAGTCTAAATCGCTTAATAAATAATCTAACTTAGACTTATTATTAGATTCTGCCTAGGCTAGGTTAGCAAAAGAGGCGGAAGGGTTAGCGGAGGGGATAGTAGAAGAGTTAGCGATAGCATTATAGGTAGCTATAGTCTAAATATAGAAACCTAGGTTAAATTAATTAAGAATTAATTAAGAAGTAATTTAAATAAACTTACCTATCTTAGCTTAGATTAGAGCGTTAGTAAAATTTCTAACTCGCTTAGTAAATACTATTCTTAGCTAGTAAGCTTAGCGTAAGTAGTTTCTAAGCGCAGCGCGACTAGTGTACTTTTGCTAAGAGAAATATTAGAAATAATTAAAAAATAATTTAGAAATAGTTTATACTCTATAAAGAATTCTACCTTAAATTCTAATACAGTAGTATAGCTAACCTATATAGATAATTAGCTTATTCTACGCGTTAGTAGTAAAAGGCGGGTACCTAAATAGATGTTAGTTAAGCTAGAGAAATTACTTATAAGCAGGCTAAATTTATTAGAATTGTTTATAGATTAATCTAGAAACAGTTTATACATTTTTTTAGAGAATACTCTAGATTTAGTAGGCTATTATAAGTAGCGTAGTTTAGTAGAGGGGTTTAGTAGAGTTATATTATTATTGTTTAAGTAGGATTATTCTAGGAATAATCTATAATTAATCTGCTAAGGCGCTACCTTAGCGTGCGCATTAACTGCGCACAGATGCCTTGGCATGCTATGTCTCGGCGCGCCCTTGGTTAGATGGCCTGCATCCTGGGTGGTTTAGTGCAGCATGGAGGTTACGTCATTGCAAAAGAGCGAGACAGCGCCCGACCTTGGTCCTGCTACCAACCCCACTACTCTCGCCGGGGAGTCAACTGGGCCAGCCTTCTCGATAACGTCAGGCCACGGCACAAGTCCATTCTTCTGCTTACCTTGATAACCATCCCTCTTCCCCTTCCCGTACCAACTTGCCCGTGTTCCTTCTTCCAGCCCATCCGCCGTCTCCTGTGAGAGCGGCACGTCACCCCACCACCACACCCCCCGCCCGTCGCTCACTTGTCGCTTAGCCGCACAATGTCGTCGCGACGCTACCCAACCGCTGAGCTCTATGAGGAGCGAGAGCGCGACTTCTACCGCAATGGAAACCGCAGCGATCGCAACTACGAGGAGCTTGACCTCGAGCTGCGCCGCGGCACTGGCCCGGACCCCAGGCGCAGTGCCCCCGACTTCTTCCGCGAGGACTACAACCGCCCGACGGCTGGCCCCATGGTTCTGAGGAGCCGCGATGAGGACAACTATTCGCGAGCAGGACCCCGCAGCAGCCGCGGCGGGTTCGACGACGATGTGCGCTCTACCCGGAGCCGTCCCCCGCCTCCGCCCTCTGCTATGCGGGGCATGGAGCGGGACGACATCAGTATCCGTCACAGCGAGGCCCCGACGCGCCGCGGACGAGCAGACGACATTGACGAGACGGACATTACCATCAAGCGCCGCGAGCAGTCTCGTGGCCCCCCAGAGCGCGACGACATCATCTTCCGCCGTGGCGATGGCCCCCCTGTGAGATCTGTCAGCCGACCCGCCCCGCGTCAGGTGGACGACGACGATGTGCGCTTCAGGGGCCGCGGTGGAAACGACATCGACTTCCACGCCTCTCGCAGCGAAGTTAGCCGCCACGGCAGGGACGTCTCTGCTGAACGAGGCTCTATCCGCTTCCAGGAGCGTGACGGTAACTTCGAGCTCCGCGCAAACCGCCGAGAATTCAGTCGCGATGGCAGGGACACCAGCAGAGAGAGGAGCTCTTTGACGATTAGAAACCGCGAGAGGAGTCTCCCTCCCCCATCGCGCAACCGCGGCGATCTGATCGCTAGGGAGCGCGAGGAGTTTGTCATCCGCCGTCCACGCGCAGAGTCTCCTCCTCAGAACAACCGCGAAGTCATAAGAGACGAGATCATCATCCGCCGCAAGGAGGAGCGAGCACCCACTCCTTCGCCCTCTCCATCTCCGCCTCCTCCACCCCCAGCGCCAGCTCCTGAGCCAGAGATCCGTCCCCCGATCATCCAGGAGATCATCACACATCACCGACACATCGACCATGGTAAGTGTTGTGGCTAACACAATCCAGGTTCAATACTGACAGTCGTACAGGTGTCGTCAGGGCCCGCACGCCAACACCGCCTCCCCCACCGGCGCCCCCGTCTCCTCCCCCTCCACTAAACGAGACCCTCGAGATCGAGATCAACCGACGAGAGTGAGTAGTCACTTCACATGCCATTACACACAGCCTAACATTTCGCCAGGAGCCACAGCCGTGGACGTGGAAGGAGCAACTTCGAGGAGCTCGATATTGATATCAACTTCAACCGCGACCAGGTACGTCACCGCGAGCGGTCGTTTAGCCCCCCAGGGCGTGTGCACACAGCCCCCATGCCCGATATGGACTTTGATTTGGAAGCCGAGTTCTACAACCGCAAAGCACTCGAGCGAGCCTACCCTGGTGAAGCTTGGAACGGAGTTACCAAAGACTGGTCCATCATCGACGTGCCACCCGGCACCAGTCGTGTGCGCATGGATGGCATCGGTGGTGCTGCCCAAGAAATCACCTGGCAGCGCTACAACGGCGTTCGCAGATCAAAGTTCATCAGCGGCGACGATGAACATACCACTGACATTTACAACCAGGGATCGGTGAAGCAAAAGAAGAAGGACATGTGGACCGAAATTACAAAGGACTTGGTCCTCCGCGAAGCTATCGACTCGTGCGGCTACTCATGCGAGGAGACCGACGACTTTTTCTACGTCATGGAGTACCTGCGATACGTAAGTTTGTGGTGCCTTGTACAAGGTGCAGTATACTGACATTCATACAGGAGGATGTTCTGCACCTCGTGGAGATTTCTGACGAGATCCGTCGTAAGCGCAAGAGCCGCATTCGGGAAATCGAGATTGAGCGCAAGTCTATCCACGACTCCCGCCCAGCCTCAGCCTACGACGACCGTTTCTACGAGCACGAAGTATCGTTCGACAGCCGTCGCAGCCGATACCGTTAGATTCTGAACGTGGACGAGGACCCTCGTACAGCTTTCATCTGACGCCGGAGCTGCGGGTTGGAGATTCTGGAGCCCTTCAGCGAAGTCTTACACCATTGTTGAGTCCGCGACAATCTGCATCGTTTGTTTCGGCAGGCGAATCCTTCGATGAGGCCAGCGTGTTTAGAAATGTCTCGCCACCTCCGAGCAACGTTCACGGTCTTCCAGCACGCTTGTCGGAGAAAGTCTCAACCTAACACCGAACGACTCACAAGATCTCTGCAACCTGCAACGAGGACACGGCCTGTAGCACTAATGACTATGACGATTATGACTAGCATACCCGGAGCGAGTAAGAAAGAGGTGGTTTTTGCAGTTTTTCTTTGATGCTTTTTCGGATGTGGAAATCGATCAAAGTGGCGGATGGCGGGGAGGTACATAATTCTCTTTTTTTCTGCGGTTACCAATCAAATTCATGAGCTTTATTGGCGTTGACGTTGTGATCTATCTGTTTGCGAACTATCGATAAAACCTATTCTAGTGAAGTCTGGCGTCGGAACTGCTTTTAGTGATGGCTGTGTGCATGCCGCAAAAGCAAGGGTGCACACACGATCAGACCACAAGTTCATTCAATCCCTTGCCTTTTCCATCGAAATCGTGGTCACTAACACGATCGAATACAACGTTACATCATATACATATTTCCAATTACGTTGTTCCTTTCTCCCCGAAGTTGTACTATATACAGCGCGCTCGCGCTGCAAGGCTAAAAATACAGACGACGCCCGCGGGCGCCGCTTACCCCGCTTGGCACGTCCCCCCTGTCTTGTACGGGCGCTTCCACGCCTGTTACACGGCGCCGCGAACACGCTCGAAACCCTGTCCGTCCCCTAAGCGCCCGCTCCACACGAGCTCAATTTCCAGCTCGTCGCGCTGCTGAGTGGCTGCCCTCGTCATAGGCGACTTTGTTCCAAGATAAGACATTCTTGAGCTGGCGTTGCGGCAAGGCGAGTGGTTGGACGATGGTTGGTGGGGTCGGGTTTGTGGTTGTTTCATGTGCGGCGTGTTGGCAGGCATGGGGTTTGGCGTGTAGGAGTAGGTTTGTATGCAAAGTATAAGGTCCCCGATGGGGGAGGCGTTGGGTTTAGGGCTTGTTTATGCTGTGGTACTTTACTTTTGAGGGGATTAATTGGGTGTTGCTTTGCTGTTCTCCCCTTCTCTCCGTTCTTTTCCACTTGATTGCCTTGAAACTGAAAGAGCTCGGTCGATTATTGCGCGCGCTTTTGGGTGTTATTTGGTACTGAGATATGTTTGCCGCGATACACGTACGGCAGAGAGTGGGCGTGATACTTGCGCTGCTGGCTTGTAAGTCATCTCTAGTAGTTCGGACTACATACTATTGATTGTCTTTGCATGCACGTTGCTAACTTATTGCGCAGTGTTCCCAGCGCTCATATCATGCCAAAACACAACAACGAACGTCACTACCGCTTCGACCTTCTACCTCGATCGAACAGAAACACAGTTTTCTATCAACATCGCAGATGACTCGGACGATGTCTTCATCTACTACGCCAGCCCGGCGTATTCATGGGTCGGTGTTGGGTTTGGAGAGAAGATGGAAGGGAGTCTGATGTTCATCATGTACCCCAATGAAAAGAGCGACAGTACGCTTCCACGTAACTTCGAATAACGACAACTATACTAACAAGTACCAGATGTAACGATATCCACACGCATCGGATCCAAAGCCTCGGAACCAACCTTCAACTCCTCAGTCTCCCTTACCGTCCTCCCAGGATCCAGAGTCGACGACGACATGCTTATCTTGAGAGCCCGCTGTGGCAACTGCCGCTCCTTTATCGACACCGAAGCAACAGCTCATCCCATGATCTACGCCTTCGGCCATGGACAAAACCTGCAATCCAACTCGCCCTCTGCAAACCTCAAACGCCACATCCGCTACGGTCACTTCACCATGGACATGGCAACAGCGACTGGACCAGGCGGCGTGCCAGCAAAGAGCAACGCCTTGAACGGCGTCAGCATGGTGGGCGACATGACCCGAGACCACGACCGAGCGAACCTCGCACACGCAGTCATCGGATGCTTAGCGCTCTTCCTACTTTGGCCACTCAACGTGCTGCTCGTGGCCTTCTTCAAGAACATCAAGATACACGTTGTCTTCAGCGTACTCATCATGATCTTCCTTCTCGTGAGTTATGTGTTGGGAGGAGTTACCAGTGCACAGTACAACCGCGTAAGTCATTCAATCTCACGTTTGTGTCTTCATACTGATGTGTACACATAGTCGAAAGCTTTCAACACCCCGCACCAAATCATCGCCTTTATATCACTGCTCCCCCTCCTTCTGACAAGCGTCCTCCCATCCCTGAAACCATACCTACCCCGCCTCCAAAAAGCTCTCCACACGCCCCTCGCTTCCGCCTCCCTCGCCCTACTCATCCTAACCGGCGGTCTGGGTCTCCACCTCTCAGGCCAAACCCGACCAATCGTCCTCATCTACACCGCCATATCCATCGCCGTATTCCTCTTCATCTTCATCATTCAGTCCTGCATCCGGAAACGTGGATCTGCATATTCCCGCGCTGAGAGGCGACAAAACCGCGGAACGGGCGAAGACAGCGATGAGATGGTCATGCTGGGCAAGATGGAGGAGCAAGGTATGCCGTATGGGCATAGTGCGGAGCAGAATGATAGTAGAGAGTTTGGTGCTGATGGACAGAGGCAGCAGCAGCAACATGTGAGGAATACGAGTCGCACGCATTATGGTGGTGGGACGATGCCTGGTCCACAGTATTTGCTTAATATGCATCCGGGGGTGCCGGTGCAGGTTAGTCGCATGTGAGCATAGAAGAGTTTGTGGTTCATGATTGTATGATTAGCATGGCGTTTGGGATGTTGATATTGCTTGGGGTCTGTGCTGTTGAAATCAGTTCATTTTGGGGCATTTGGGAAGCGAGAGATACCATGTAGCGTTTGGCATTTTCTGGCGTTGGTCATATTCCTCATCAGTTAATTAAATCGCATTATAAGAGTACCGTTAGGAACTTGTCGTTTACCGTTATATATTCAATGCAGCTTTTTCGTATCTGAAGTTTGACCAATGGTACCTTCCCTCTAGGCTTAGCTAATAGCCCAACGAGGAATATCTTTTATACCCCTATGAAGAAGATAGATCCCTTCTCCACCATCCATCTTGCCAACAGGTATGACGCCCATCCGCTTTTGGGCGTTGGTAACCTCGCCAAAAACAACGGGAAAGATCTCTGTACCTCCGATGCGACTGTACACTGCCGTCTTGGATCCTTTGAGTCTTCTGATAGCGATGGCAGGCCAGCAACCCTCAAGGTTTGGATCTTCAAAGCGGCACTCGAGCACAGCCAAGCGGTCTTCTTTTTCAGGTGCTAATGCGCCCCAGGGACCGGGAGGACTGCAGACGCGGAGCGTAATCTTGACACCGCTGAGTGTGGATGCGTAATCATCTCCTATTAAATCCTGTTCGTTGATATCCTTATCGAAGTGATAGCGGTTGACTATGCCTCTTGAAGCTGCGAACTGCCTCGGATGATCGGCAAATATTGGGCTAAGTGTTCCCTTGACATCTGAACGGCGTGCTCCCCATGCGAGTAGACTGTGGTCCTCTGAATTCCTCATTATCTCCTCCTGGAGCCGGAGGAAAGCTTTATCTCTTTCTCCATACAGTAGCGGCATTTGGACGTCGAAAATGCCCATTAGGCAATATGCGATGTCTTCTACTCGTGTTGTCGTACGTCCAGCCATCCAACTCATTCGCTTTGCGATGCTCTCATCCAACACGTCGCTTTCCTTCGAGAGTATACGTTGGCTGATGCCAGTGATGCACTCCAGCTCTTTGAGTAACGAGTCCTTCTTGCCGATGTATCTCCACTCTGCGCCATAGAACTGAAGATGTTCCGGGGCTATCAACTCTTGTAATGTCCATCCGCGTGTGAAAAACCGTGACTTGGCGAACGCGTCATTGTTGTATTTGGAGTTGAGGACTCCCCCCACCTTCGCCACGGACGATACATTCACATCGTCTAGGTAGGCGTAACACACTGTTGCCTGCTGGTACCACCGAAACATGCTGACGATCGTTTCGCCCAAGTCCGAGGAGGATGTACTGTCGATACAGCAGGTATCCACCCACACTAGCGATAGGCGATCGCTGAGGGCTTGTTGACAGGCTTTCAAAATCTTCCAGTAGCCTCGACTGGCTTTCCAACCATTCGCTTTTGGTGACCGATCTGTAAACTGCTGCAGGGTAACTTCGTCTTCGCCCCAGGTGTGGGCCAGGATGGCATATGGTGGTACATGGGTTTCGTCCACGAAAGTACGGAGCTCAAGGGTTCTAGTGTCGATGAGTCTCATCGTTGCTTATGGACGCTGCGAACTTGAACTTGAACGATGAAGCTGAATATGAATTTGAACTGTTTTGTTATGGAGTTTTCGTTTCGTCCAGCGAGCTCTGCTGACGGGTTCCGGAGACACATGTTGGCTATACATATACTTATCGTCGCGAATTCCACACGCGCGCGGCTATACTGGTTTGACTGAAGCAACGCATTTCAGGAAAAGATCAGACACTTGCTCGAAATAGATGAATTAGAGCGCTAAATTGCCTGTACATGCCAAAACGTTGTTATCGTATTGATATATGCTGCGGGCGCCTGTTCAGCTTCCCACTCATATGAGGTGGAAAGAGCGGGTAGGAAGGATAAACGAATTACCGACTGTCGGCAAAGCTCCGGTTGGCGCCCACGACGCAGTACTCCAGACGTGGAGGCAGCCGCCGATATATCGTGCAGTAGGATGTTGCATTAACATTTCGAATATGGAAGTATACTTTACTTTCTTGCTAGGTTCAGTGGTTGCTTTGCTTGGTTCGGCGAATGTTTCACGCGTGCGACATGTTGACAGCTAAACTTCAGGGTCCGGCCCTTCACGTGACAGATGACGCGGCGGCAATCGTAATGCACGGCTGAGGCACCGCCTCCTTCATCCTCCTGATACTTTCGCTCTGCAACACCTCTTCGCCTTTCAACCTTTGGTATCGCCTGAATACAACCTACGATGTCTCCTAGCAAGTTGGGTGTTTTCGCCCATTTGGCGCTGGCCGCCAGCGCCGTGCTCATCCCTTCGACCATGACGAACGTGGAAGACCTCGGAGACGACCACGCTTTCGAATCTCTCGCCATCAACCCCAGCCAGCGATCCGTCGCGCTGGAGTGCCCTGGATGCGCCGTTGCGACCTTAGATGGGAAAGATCTTAAGTGGAAGTCTGATGTTGGGAGTGCCTTCGTACGTAGTCGGCTACATGCCTCACAGCCTCGCATGCTAACAACCAACAGCGCCTGGACTTTGACGTCGGACCCCAGGGCGACGCTTTAAACCTTAACAACGCCCAACTGTACCCGCCATCGTTCGGCTTCCCTCCCCAGCCTTACACTCTCACACAGGTGGACCCATCTACAAAAGAGGGTCTACGTCTGCAAATCACCGGCTATGAGTTCCGCTACGACGGCGCAGAGACTATCTCAGAGGAGGGCACCGAGCTTCTTCCGATGACCTTCCAAATCACCTCGGTCGAAGGCACCACTGTCAACCCTCCTGCGCTCCAGATCAACGTTCTGAAGAATTCTGAGGGTCGTCTCATGATCGCATCGTTCAACGAGGCTGAGCGTAGCCCGGCCACGCCATCAGACAAGGAGTGCAACGAGTGGCCGCTTTACTGCAAGTGGAAGAACATCATGGCCGACCGCATCGAGCAGATCAAGGGCATGCGCAAGCCTAGGCCCGGCTGCCACAAGCGACCCCATGCCGGTGCCCGCCCCAACAACCCCATGGAGCACGAGGGCATGGCTGGAAAGCCCCCGCACCGCTTCCGCCCTGGCAAGGCTCACCCGCACCACCACCCTCACCACATGGGTCAACACCGTCACCACGGCTTCGCCAAGATGGCTCGTCGCGCCTTCTTCACCATCTTCGTCCCTATCCTCATCGGTATCTTCGCTGGTACACTTACATACCTCGTCGGCATGGCTCTTGGATGCCTCATCGCTATTACCGTTGCGAAGGTCCGTGGCCAGCGCTACCAGCCGATTGCTCTGGATGAGGAGGATGTGGAAGAGGCAGAGGAGCGCGGAGAGAAGGAGGAGTACGCCGAGCTTCCAGCATACGATGCTCCTCCTGTCTACGAGGAGGCTGCCGATGAGGAGGCTGCTGTCAAGAAGACCGATGAGACAAAGTAAAGCTTACTCTAGGCCTGGAAGACGGTACAAGTGGCGAGTGTATATGGCCATGTCACGCTTCTGATTAGATGGATAGTTTGTAGCATGCCCCTCGTTTGTAGCCCGTTTTGATTAGTTAGCTCTCGCAATGAATCTCTTTTAGTTCATATCGACAGTATTGATGTATCACTCTGAAGTGCAAGTCTTACTGGATCTATTGCTAACGCTTGAAGCCGAAATCTAACGATCTCATTGCTACTCCATAATGGCATCCCTCTCCATGCAGATGAGACCCAGCGTAGGTAGACACGTCTTGTGCCACATGGTTCGTCCCAACATGACCACTGAGGACTTTAGACGGCAGCCGGGTAAAGGAACTCCAGGCAGCAATACTGATTACGTGACTCATACGTTTGCATTGATAGGCACGCGCATGAGCAACCAGCAAGTCTGTCTAGAGAAGAGCGGGACACGACCTATCAACGATGGGTTGCGACCGACGTGACGCCATGTTTCCATCTGCATCTTCTCAGAAAGCAGTAAGTAAGGGTATAACATAAGCCAGATCTTGGTCATTGAAGTGTGAACATGTTGAAAGAGCTGGAGAGTCTGTAACATGGCGGTGAAAGCTTCAAGTCGACGTTTCTAGAAAGTGTACGGCAAATATGATATGTGACTGTTAAGAGACAAGAGCAGACAGAGTAACGAAAAGAACCTTCTCCAGAACTGAACGCGTCTTTGCTAGTTGCTTGTCGCGGTGGTTGGTGTAGTGTGCGCACAGCGTGAACGCGTCGTGGAGGGGTGAAGAAGGCGTGCCGTGAACGAATCGAAAACGCGCAAAACATTATATGGTAGTTTTAGATGTTGAGTGCATATGTCGCCGTCTTCTAGTAAGTTTTGAGAGAGTGCAGCATGTTGTAGCCGCATGCAGGACGATTATCGCGCAATCGAAGTTGGTGTTCCAGTCGCGTCGGCAGGCCGCGATTGAAGTTCCCGCACGGGCCATTTCGCCGACAGCTGCATCAGCAGCCCGGCGCGCCTGCAAGCTTGGGTGGGAATTGGAAGTGCTGCTTTCCACGCTTTTGATTTTCCCCCAGATGTGAAGGCGCAAGGCCTTTGATTTCATGTTCTGACTCGCCCCGACCGGGCCTAGCGCCACTCCGGCTCTGTGTGATCTGGAGGCACCCGCGCCCGCCGCCCTCGTCTATATAACCGGCCCACCCGCGTCTTTGGAGTCTTTTCTTTCTTCTCTTTTCGCATCCCCCAGCTTTCATCTTCATCCACGCCATTTACGCTGCACCAACGCGCGTAATATACCAATACCCATCACCATCATCTCCACTAACCTTCCAACAACATGACTGGACGTAAGTACATCTTTGTTCCTCTTCCATTACCCGCGCATCGGCGTTGTCGTCGCTGTTGCCGCTGCTGCACATGGCGGTGAGGCGCGCTTGGTGTTGAGGCTCAACGCGTCGCCCCACTAATGCACCGCGCATCACGACACTCATACACAACCACCATGCTGTGGCGGCATCCAGCATTACCATAAGACAACATGCTAACATACCTATGCAGGCGGCAAAGGTGGCAAGGGTCTTGGAAAGGGTGGCGCCAAGCGTCACCGCAAGATTCTTCGTGACAACATCCAGGGTATTACTAAGCCCGCTATCCGCCGTCTCGCGCGCCGTGGTGGTGTCAAGCGTATTTCAGCCAGTAAGCATTCCCAACCTCGTCGCCATGCTGGACACATCCTAACATGCCCGCAGTGATCTACGAAGAGACCCGTGGTGTCCTCAAGACTTTCCTCGAGAGCGTTATCCGTGACGCCGTCACCTACACCGAGCACGCCAAGCGCAAGACCGTCACCTCCCTCGACGTTGTCTACGCCCTCAAGCGCCAGGGCCGTACCCTTTACGGTTTCGGTGGTTAAACATCTCTTCTCGTCACGACACATCGGCGCCCGGCATCGACGGCTTCTTATGGCCTCTTGGTTGGGGACTGTCCGCATGGTCACACATTGTTTATGGATATGATCTGGTCACGGCTATCGGTCTTCACGGCGTTATGTTCATGGGTGGTTTGGAAATGATCAATATGAAGCTTCGATCTTCATTTGGCTACTTCAGTCAATGCATACATTCATGCACCTTGCTGTCCAATTGTTTTGTTCTGTGACTTTGACTCATGTCGTGCCGTCTTCACCTCGAGCACAGCTTATCGCTTGCTACACTAGACAGTATCTGACTAGACAAATCCCCTTCCACCTTGGTATTCTCCGACCGCCATCTCGTCAGCTCCATTAAAACTTCTCCACGTTGGTCGCAGCCAGAGCCAATAGGTACGCTTGGGTAACCACATCAAGCTGGTCAAACGGCTGTCCACTCTTCGAAGCGAGTATACCTTGGCGACTGATGATCTCGTTGTACAACTTGCGATCCTCAATGTGAACATTGCCAGCCCGCAGTATGACCATCGGCACGATCTTGACCTGGTCGAGTTCAGGAACATGGACCTTTGCATAGCCTCTAGCATGACCACAATCCGGCGGCGGTACACCCACAATCACACCCTGGGCACCTGGGAATATCTCAACATCGTCAGACGGGCTCTTGTAGTAGTGTCGCACTTCGTAACCGAAACCTTCGCGTATGGGAGCAAGGTCTGGGTTGAGGTTGGAATGGGTCCAGGGCTCTAGGTCGTCTCGGACGTCTTCCCAGAAGGTGGTTTCGGCGACGGAGGTATCGATGAAGCGTTCTACTGCGTTTACTCTTATAGGGAACGCATGCTCGGAGGGGATGAAGGCCATGTTGGTTGGGTGCGCTGTAGCTGAGATTCGTCAGTATTGAAGAGCTGAAGTGGGCACTGAGGTGGGGAGGGAATACATGAGTGTGTCGTGAGTGTACTTGTTGGGATTTTGACGCAATGTTGTTGTGAAGATGTAGAGATGAGCATGGTGGATATAACGCGCTGTGTGAGCAAGAGCTAGTTACATATTAGACGCGCAGGGCAAAGTAAAGGTACCTTGAGGCGGTGTTGATACGCGCAGCAAAAATTCTCTCGAGGTGAAGTAAAGGCAAAATATACTGTTTGAGCTTCTGTACACTGTCCAAGTGTCTCGTTCAGTGCAGCCTACTTACT